AAAATAAAAAAAAAAAGATGGGGTGGGCCTGGCATGGTGGCTCACACCTGTAATCCCTGCACTTTGGGAGGCCGAGGCAGGTAGATCACCTGAGACCAGGCCTCTGTGGACAGAGTCTGATAAGATAGATAAGGAAAGTAGCAGATATTTAGGACTTAAATACGATCTAAAAAAAAAAAGGAAAGAAAGAAAGTGAGGCCCAGAAAGCTTTAGTGACTTTTCCTCGTAAGCTAGTAGCGTTGCTAGAACTAGAATTGCATCTCCTAACTTCCAGCCCAGTGCTTGCTTTCTATAAAGTGTGCCTTTTTCTTTCCCTTTTGACTCTTAGCTTTCCCATTCTAAGCTGAGTCCCACTGTAACCCCACACACTTATGAGAATTGTTTCAAGTGCTTCTTGAATCTTATCCTAAAACCAAGGGTTTTTTCCTGCATTTTAACTTGGTTCTGGGACCTCAGACCAATGGTGTCAGATCACCTATGACTGACTTTTTTTTTTTTTTTTACCGGTAATACTTCTTTAGAAATTTGATTTAGGTATTAGTAAACTTCACCTATTTCTCCCATTTTTTTCCGTTTCACATAGAAACAAACAATTATATATATGATATTACTACACGAGATTTACATATCAGAAGGCCGATTTTCCTTTATTCATTCAGTGTATATTTGTGATGCAGCTTCCCTGGGTGACCATTCTGCTAAGTGCTTCTATAGTACACGAACATGAATGAGACGGTCTTTTACTTCAGTTTAAAGTAAAGTAGTCCCCCTCCTGTGTCTTTCTAGAAGAAAACTTGTTTCAACTTTTCTGTATAGGGTTAACAAAAGAGACCTGATCTGTACTCTCTCAGAGAGCCTTTAGTTTAGTGTAAAATACAATACGGTTGACTCCCCAGAACTTAACTACTAGTAGCCTACTGTTGACTGGAAGCCTTGCCAATAACATCAACAGTCTATTAGTACATATTTTTATGTTATATGCTTTATATACTGTATTCTTGCAGTAAAGTAAGCTAGGGAAAAAATGTTATTTAAAAAATCATAAGGGACCAGGTGCGGTGATTCATGCTTGTAGTCCCAGCACTTTGGGAGGCTGAGGCGGGTGGATCACCTGAGGCCAGGAGTTTGAGACCAGCTTAGCCAGTATGGCAAACTTTGTCTCTACTAAAAATACAAAACAGCCGGGTGTGGTGGTGCGCACCTATAGTCCCAGCTATCCTGGAGGCCAGGGCACGGGAATCCCTTGAACCCAGGAGGTGGAGGCTTCAGTGAGCCGAGATCACACCAGAGCACTCCAGCCTGGGTGACAGAGTGAGACCCTCTCTCAAAACAAACAAACAAAAAATCTTAAGAGAAAATATTTATTGTACATTAAGTGAAAGTAGATCATCCTAAAGTTCTTCACTTTCAGGTTGAGTAGGCTGAAGAGGAGGAGGAAGAAGAAAAGGGGTCAGTCTTATTGTCTCAGGAGTAGTAGAGGCAGAAGAGGTGGAGGAAATGGAAGCAGGGCAGGAAAGGCAGGCATACTCGGTGTACCTTCTGTTGAAAAATATCCGCTTATAAGTGGACCTGCACAGTTCAAACCTGTGTTGTTCAAGCATCAGCTGTACTTCCCTTTAAGACAGAGATCATCTGTGATCAGACCAAGTGTCAGAAACCTTAAATTGTAAGAAATCAGTTGATCCTTCCTTGTAAATCTTGTGATTGAGAGATTTAGCTGAAGATAAAATAGTATTTTTAGGTATCTCAAGTATCTCTGAAAGGTAATTTCTGTTACCACAGTATTCTTTTCCGGGGACCTAGCTGATTATAGAGAAAGAGAGTCCTCTGTAAATATTATGTGGGTACTATTGTTGGATTTTTTAGTTAAAATAAAGTAACTTAAAGAACTATAGAAAATTACTGAAAAGCACTTCTCTGCAATGCAAATGTTCACAATCAGACAAATTGGCATATGGTCATGTAGACCTAAACAAATTTTAATCTGCAATTTCAAGACAAATTATCAGTATTTTAAAGTAAGAATTTTAATTCAATAAATTAGAATAATTTCTTCAATGGAGTAGTTTGAGGCTCTTTAATTACTTTCTCAAGACAGGTATAGCTCTTTCCTCACATGAATGGTAGTTCCTAAAAGCCAACTGTTTGTCTAAAACAAATTCCTTCACGATATTTGTTGAAAACTCTTGATTATACAATCTGGTTTTCATTCTAGTGAGTACAGTAGACTGAGCATGTTTGTGGACCTGTGTTGGTCACACAGACCCCAAGACAGAATGTGGAAGCCACCTTTGGTGAAGAACCTAGATAACTGGTTTTAAGTTTTCATCTCATAATATCTAATACTAGACCACTGGATTTGAGTTGTTTGTGATAAAATTTGTCAGACATTTCATATCATTTCGTATCAGCTTCAAAATCATTGAAGTAGTGTTAATTTTAAAAAATAAATTATAAAAATCAGTATTATAATCAGTTTATTTTATAGACTGGGTTACACTTAGGATTTATTTAAATGTTTAACATTTTTATTTCCAATTTTAAAAAGTGGTAACCTCTAGCACTCTTTTTATTGAGAGTCTCTTATCCAAAATATACACAGCATTCTTTGATATTTTCTGTGAAATATCATTAGGTCATACCAATATCCACCTTCCATCAATTTCCCTAAAACTCAGTGATTTCTAAAGCCTAGAAAGTTGATGACTAGCTGCCCCATTTGAAATGGCATTGAGAAGAGCCCTGTGTCTTCTCTGAAAGGAAGTTGTGATTATGGTCAGCAATATCAGTAACATTTCAGCAAGAACATCACTGACTTGTCAGATACGTATGCCCTTGCTCTTTTGCCAGTCCCCATCTTCCTTGCACTGTCCTACCCCCAGAAGCTTCATCGTCTGAGAGCTAATTTGACTTAAAACTGATAGATTTTTATGTAGAGTGGAAAATGAAACTGTACATTCTAGAAGTATTCCTAATTGATGCTATTTCTCTGCAAATCCTTCTTTGTCTAAAGGGAACGTGTTGAGAATACCAGTCGCCCAGGAGAGATGCAGGTAACCATTCAGAACCTAATGCCAGCGACTGTGTACATCTTTAGAGTTATGGCTCAAAATAAGCATGGCTCCGGAGAGAGTTCAGCTCCACTGCGAGTAGAAACGCAGCCTGAGGGTAAGTCTTCCACCTGTCTGTCAGCACCCCCAGAGGTAGACTTTTCTGAAGTTCTACCTTTGTTTAGCCTCGCACACCATAGGGGAGCAGAAGATAACAATTCCTTACCTTCAGGGCCCTTATCAATTATTGGAGGCAAAATTAATTTACATCCAAAAACAGCAAATAGGGTCAGGCATGGTGGCTCATGCCTGTAATCCAAGCACTTTAGGAGGCCGAGGCAAGCGGATCCCCTGAGGTCAGGTTTTCTAGACCAGCCTGGCCAACATGGTGAAACCCTGTTTCTACTAAAAATACAAAAATTAACCGGGCATGGTAGTGAGTGCCTGTAATCCCAGCTACTCGGGGAAATAGCTGAGGCAGGAGAATCACCTGAGCCCAGGAGGCGGAGGTTGCAGTGAGCCGAGATCGCAAAACTGCACTCCAGCCTGGGTGAGAGAGTGAGACTCCGTCTTAAAAAAAAAAAAAAAAAAAAGCAAATAGTATGAGACAATATACTTCTATTGATGCTTTTCTACATGTTCATATTTTACTGACCCTTTAAGACTTAGCTCAGATGCCTTCTAGAATCTTTCCTCTAATATTGTTATCTCCACAGTTCTAAGGTATTTATTATATTCTTTCTTCAGTTATGATTATGAACTTACCTTGCTGACTTTGTAGCAAAGACGGAGCCTTTGTCATCTTTACATTTCCCACAGTGTCTAATGTCATGCCTTGCACGTGAAGTAGGTATTTAATGATTGTTCTTAACTGGATTGTCTATCTTTAGGCATACCATGCTCTTTAGAATCTCCTTGAGGCTTTATTTTGGGCCTGTGGTCTTTTGTGCTACATAGGGTTACTTCTAATTACATTTCTAAGATTTTCTGTGACTTGAGTGTCAATCGGGTTTATTTATAGTATAAATGTGTTGTATATCTTACGTGTGGGTTGTAAACTATAGGCCCAAAATTACAAGCAGCCGAATCTTAATGAATGCTTTTCCTACTTGAGGTTTTTGTCTGGACTTTTGCCTTCTTTTAGCACAAGTTGTTTTTCCTCAGTGTATTCTTCAGTCTACTTTTATTTTTAACAGCATTAGTTTTTCTGTATTAAAAACCTCCAGTAATAATAAAATATTTTACTTTAAGTAGAGAGTATTTTAGATATATTTGTAGAGGCTACTGACCAGGCAACTAAACAGATTAAATGACTTTACCAGTGGAACTATAGAAATAATTTAAGAACTTTACCTGATGGGTAGAATAAGTCAAGAAGCTGTAGAACTTCACTTTCTAATGCCATGGCAAATCACTTACCTGTCAAATATTTATTGAGTATCCCCTACACCAGGTAATGTGCAAGATACTGGAGATGCAGGGATGAACAAGCTAGGTCTTCTTCCCTTAAAGAAGGAGCAGGCAAGATAGGAGACCTTTCATCATCTCAGTGACAGAGATTGAAGATAGGAATCAAACCTAGGCAAGAACAAGAGGGCCATCACAGAGTCAGGGGGTTGATTTAAGGGAAGAGTGTGTTCTCATTACAGGCAGGATGTTGAATTTTACAGTTATCTATGTTCAGACAAGAGCAGGAATACTCTATTAGGTTTCAAGCTCAGTTACATTTCATCAGCTTTCATATAGAAGCATCATTCGTGAGAGATACTAGGATACAGAATAGAGAAAACTGACTGTAAAAGATAGAAAAGTTAAGGCAGGATCCTAGGGAAAGATGAGACCTCAGGCTGGCCTTGAGGCATTTGACTTAGAGCAAGCATATTGTGGGAAGGAATTTGCATGACCCAAATCCCAGAAATAGAATCTAACAGTGCACATGCAAGGTAAGTCATGATGAAAATGAAGGAAATGCAAGGGTCCTATCCTGAGGCTGTAAACCTTCTGAAACTACATGAAAATAAATCTTTGTGTCTGTACATACTCACATTTCCCTTGGAAAGAATCTGTAATTTTCATTATCATTTCAGTTCATATGTCAAATTGTTGAGAGCCACTGGGAGGGTCATTGTCAAATTTAGAGATGAAAGAAAAGGGGTGAAGAAGAGTAGATTTATTGAGTGCCCACCATGTGTCAGCCACTGTGTTAGGCAGTCAGGATGTAATTGTTAGGCAGTCAGGATGTAAAGATGAGTAAGACTTGACTTCTGTCCACAAGGAGTTTATGGTCTGGTACCATAGACAACAGTGTGATGTGTTATCACCTTAAGGAAAGTAGAAAGCACAACCATTTATTCAAGGAGTTTGGCTAAAAGAAAATAGTTACAAGAATATAGGTAGAAGGGGCAACAGGTTCTGGTGAGGGTATTTTAGGGATGGAGAAGAGACTAACATGTTTTGGCAAAAGAGAAGCAGTTTCTGAAGAGATTTGCATTTCATCTGGAGGTGTTCAGCTTGTGTGGGGGAGGCATAAATGTTGGAACCAGCCCTTGGAAAATATCTTACATATTTAGTTTCACAAACCAACTTAACATTTTTTCCATTTATTATGCCACTATACAGCTGAAATGAAAGAATTCATTAGCACCTTTTTTAGGATCATATTTGCCTACACTTGGCCAATGAATATATTGAAAATGATTTCAAGAGAATTTAGGGACTGTTTTGTTTTTCTTCTCCTTTAATAAGTTAGAGGAAAGTTTCCCATAGCAGCAGAAGTGTGACAAACCCCACCTGTCAGGCTGCACAAAATGCGCCCTTAACTTAAGTGAGTAACATGATTCATAACTAAAGCAAACAACTGTTAGAGTAACCATATTCAGATTTCTCTACTTTGGTAGCAAAATTAATCTTAAGCTATGGTGCTGTTATTCAGGAAAGCCAGTTTGTTTTACATTTTGTTAGTTTTTTTTCCCTTCCCAGTTTTTAAATCCAATGAATTACAGAAACACTAGTGCCAGAGAAATTGTTTTCAAATATAGATGTCTACCAAAGTGTAGGCATAGACAGCTACACGGGATTTGTGTATAAATTGGAACTGGAACCTGTCAATCAGACAAAAAGAATATAGTAAAAGGGTAGGTATGTGAGCCATTGTAGGAGACAGAGCCAGCTAGACACTTAAGCAGTCAGCCAGTGATCCAGTCCTCCAGTCACATGCATCCTGTCATGGATATTGTAATCATCTCCTGAAGGGTCCTCTTGAGCCCATGTTTTAGAATCAGCAAGTACTCGACTCCTGGGTCCACCACAAGCTAACTTTCCCATCACTTGGGAAAGATTGTTAACTTCATAACCTCACCTGTAAATGAGGGTGATAATATTCATCTCATTTGGTTTAGTGCAAAGATTATATGAGAAAATACATGTCAAGTATTTAGTGCTTGACTGACTGTAACCATTCAATAAATGGTAGCTGTTTTACAATTATTATTCTTTTATCTACTCTTGTTCCTTGACTGTTTTCTTCCATACATGTGTTCACATGTCCTTTCTAAACACAGATCTGATCGTGTCATGCTCCTGCTCATAATTTTTCAGTAGTTACCTAATACCTACTAGAGAAAATATAAGCTTCAATAGCAGGACATTAGAGGATTCTTCACTATCTGATCGGTCATTGTTTTCAACATTCTGTCTCCCATATCCACTCTGTTTCAACCAAGCTGAACCACTTAACACTGTCTTTTTGTATATTCTCCCTATTGACCCCATTGACTGGAATGATTTTCCCCTTGGTATCTGAGGAAAGTGTTCATTTTGCTTGACTCCAAGAATTCTTCACTAATCCTTCTTTTCCCTCCCAAACCCCTCCCAAAGCAGAATTGTGTGCTCTCTCGTCTTTCTGTTTTTGTTATAGCCATTACCTAAATCTGTTAGCACTTAAGACATTTTTTGTAACTGTTTATGTATCTGACTTTCCTGCTAGACTGGGAGTTCTTTGTGGGCAGGAGTCTCTTCATCACTGTATCCCTAGTGCCTACCACAGTGCCCGGCAGAAGGATCTCTTTCTGTGGTGGTTGCCTTTTATGTCTTGTGTAGGCCCACTGCAAAACTGGGATTTTATAAACCACAAGGAAAGTTTTTCAATGTAATTTCTGGCTTTGATTTGAATCATAAAAAGGAAAATGTGTTTATATATTATTCTAAAACCACTTCAATCAAATCCATTGTTTTCTTAGCTTCTATTATTTTTAAAACATGGCCAATATGACAATATTGCCAAGAACGGTTATTGAGGAGTGTAGCATTTCATTTATATCTTGCTATCTCAAACTTTTCTTTCTAGTTCAGCTCCCTGGCCCAGCACCTAACATTCGTGCATATGCAACCTCGCCTACCTCCATCACTGTTACATGGGAAACACCAGTGTCTGGCAATGGGGAAATTCAGAATTATAAATTGTACTACATGGAAAAGGGCACAGATAAAGAACAGGTATGAAGTGAAGCAACTTTTCAAACCATTGATTGGAATAGTAAAGTCGAAATATATTTCCAAAACTCAATAGTTGCTTGACTGGAAATTTGAGGGAGAAAAAGATATATAGGAAATGAAAAGTTGACAGATTCTATTTCTTTGTACCAAGTTTTATTGCGTAGTTTTTACCAGCAGCGGTCACTGAACATCAAGCAGTATTTCTAAGTAAATTGTCAGTTTATGATTAATCTGCTTTGACTGTTAAAGAACCTTATGTAAAAGGGATAAAATCTGTTTCATGTAGAATATAGAATTTGTATAGCTAATTCTTTAATTTTCAGCTTTTCTTTTGGCTTGAGTTGTGTATGTATAAAATGTTTTATTTTATTCAAGGATGTTGATGTTTCAAGTCACTCTTTCACCATTAATGGGTTGAAAAAATATACAGAGTATAGTTTCCGAGTGGTGGCCTACAATAAACATGGTCCTGGAGTCTCCACACAAGATGTTGCTGTTCGAACATTGTCAGATGGTGAGTCTTTCTTCCTCTGGAACAATATACCACGCTTGGTGCCCCTGGTGGTTTAGTTGTAAGATCATGGGCTTTGATGTCTAGAAGATTCAGTTCAGATCCCAATTCTACCTCTTTCTGGTAATACGACTTTAGGAAAGTCTGAACACCTTTCTTTACATGTAAAATGTAGATAATACCAACTTCATTGAGTTGCTGTAAAGATTGAGTGAGAAAACATAGAACATAAAGTGCCTCTTACTGAGTAGGCTCTCAGCATTTATATAAGTAAATACCATTGCTTGTTCATAACACAGACCATTCCAGGGCTTTTGGAAGACTAGCCTTGTTCTACTTAGCAATCATATTTGCATGCCAAATTAGTCTTTCTAGTTCCTCCATATTTGTGACTGTTTTATTTCTCACCTGTGACTGAATTTCTAAATTAAGTTATATACATACCCATGACCTACAGCAGTGTTTTTTGAACTACAGCTTGCCAAAGAGATTAAGTAGGTCAAAACCAGCATTTAAAAATATGTATATTTTTAAAATAGAACAGAAAAGATTAGAGTTCATTGCACTTAGTAAGGGTATATGTTGTTTCATGAAACTCAGCTAAATCTAATGTTTTAGAAAAATGTCTTTTTTTAAAATTTATTTATGTGTATACAGCTCTTATATAAACACCCATGCTTTAGAAGCTATAGTTTAACTCCCTTAAGAAAATAGTCAGACTTAACATCACCAATAAAAGAACAAGCTGACATCACGTGCCTCCTTATGTGATATGTGGAGGAAGACACAATATTACTTCTGTTGTATTAGTCCCAAAAATATTTAACTTGAATCTGATCATGATGAAACAATGAGACACATCCCAATTGAGGGAAGTTCTGCAAAAAAAAATTTTTATTTTAACTGACTTGGATTCTCAAAATATATTAGTTTTGTGAAAGAAAAAAACAGTTGAGGAATCATTCTAGAATCTAGATTAAAGAAGAGTAAAGACATATGAAATAAAATATGTATGATCTTTGGATCCTGCATCTGGACGTAAAAAAAAACAGCCATAAAGGACACTATTGGTATAATTACTTAATGTTAGATACTTACAGTATTAGGCAATAGTAAATATTAGATGTTATTAGCTATATTAGATAATATTTTTGTGTTAAAATTTCTGAGTGTGATTTTCGTATTGTGCATTTTGTTGGAGGATGTCCTTGTTCATAGGAGATACGTGGCGATACACACTGCAGAATTTTGGAGTGAAGTATGATGACTGCAGTCATCTCTCAGATGATTCAGAAACAATATGTAGAGAGATAAATCTGTATACATATACATAGAGTAAGATAAATAAAGCAGAGGTTGCAGAATATTAATAATTGTGAATCTGAAAATAATAGCCATTCATAGTACTATTCTTGCCACTGTTTTCCATGGGCTTGACAGTTTTCAGGATTAAAAAGTTGGGAAGTCTGGTGCAGTGGCTCACACCTGTAATCTCAGCACTTTGGGAGGCCAAGTCGGGCAGCTCACTTGAGCCCAAGAGTTCAAGACCAGCCTGGACAACATGGCAAAACCCCATCTCTACTTTAAAAAAAAAACAAAATAGCTGGGCATGAGTGGCACACATCTTTAATCCTAGTACTCAGGAGACTGAGATGGGAGGATCACCTGAGCCCAGGGAGGTCAAGGCTTCAGTGAGCTGTGATTGCACCACTGCAGTCCAGCCTGGGTGACAGAGTGAGATGCTGTCTAAAAAAAAAAAAAAAGTTGGGAAAAAGAAAACAAATAAACTGTAGGTGGTTATACCTTGGCTACTGAACTACATAAGCCAGTTAGTCAAGATATTGGGGAAAAGTTAAGGGAAAAAAAAGTTTACTGTAGGCTCTTAAATCTACACATGAGGCAAATTTTAACTGCATTAAGTGTGTTGGCATGTTGACTACAGTATCTGTGGGAATTGAACACATCTCAGCATGGTGGCTAGGGGAAGCGCTTTGGAATAATGCAAATCTTGGTTCCGATACCAGGTGAAACAAATATCTTGGACAAGTTAACTTCCCTCTACCTCTTCTGTAGTTTTCTGATCTACAAAATGGAAATGATAATAGAAACTCTGTTCTGAGATTATTATAAGGAATAAGTGCCTGCCATGTAATGACCATGCAGCAAATCTTTACTATAATGATGATAATGAAGACAATGATGACAGCTATGTTGGATGCCTCTGCAACTCAGTCACTTCTTAACATGGAGATGACTGGATCATTAATGTACTTTTTTCAAAACACCATGTGCCTAGGTCCTACTCTAGACCCTCATTACCTGAATCTCTGAGTGTAGGCTTAAGGCACTTTGCTGGGCACAAATTACAGAAATTAGCAAGACACATTCTTTTGTCTTCCAGAAGCTATAGTACAGTGGGCACTTAGTTGTATACCTGGTCACCAAATGTTAGAGACAGAAAGGGAGAGGTTTCCATGAGTGGATTAGGAGAGAAGGGCTAAAGTCAGCAATTTGTGAGTGCAGAGAAAACAAATTCGGTTTACTTTGCTTGCTCTCACCAATATGAAGGGAGATACTAGAGAACGTGTGGGCCACACACTTTGAGATAACCCTGGGTTATGTTCTAAAGTGAGGAACTAGGCCGGGCGCTGTGGCTCACGCCTGTAATCCCAGCACTTTGGGAGGCCGAGGCGGGCAGATCACAAGGTCAGGAGATCGAGACCATCCTGGCTAACACGATGAAACCCCGTCTCTACTAAAAATACAAAAAAAAAATTAGCCGGGCGTGGTGGTGGGCGCCTGTAGTCCCAGCTACTCAGGAGGCTGAGGCAGGAGAATGGCGTGAACCCGGGAGGCGGAGCTTGCAGTGAGCCGAGATCGTGCCACTGCACTCCAGCCTGGGCGACAAAGCGAGACTCCATCTCAAAAAAAATAAATAAATAAATAAATAAAGTGAGGAACTAAAGTTATGTGGCTGTTTGTTTAACCAACAGTCCCAAACTTCTCACTTCTAAATGAGTATTTTCTGGTATCTGGTTGCCTCAGGAAGCCAGATGGTTCACTCTACCAGCTGTCATTGCTTAAATATCTTTGCTCTCCTTGGGAACTGCCTTCAAAACCAGCTTAGAAACTCCACAAGAAAAGCCAGGCTTACTGATGTATGTACATCTCATTTTGATCCATAATGTTATTACCCCATTCAGTCACTTGCCGTATTCCAGAAAAACATGATTGTCTGCCAAGATAAAGATAGACCAGGGCCAGATGCGGTGGCTCATGCCTGTAATCCAGCACTTTGGGAGGCCGAGGCAGGTGGATCACCTGAGGTCAGGAGTTCAAGACCAGCCTGGCCAACATGGTGAAACCCCATCTCTACTAAAA